GAGAGAAAATATAAAAGTTGACAAAATAAAACACTATTGGCCAAATTACAGCTAATATAAATGTATATAATTCAAACGTTCATTATTTTTAAAGGTTTGTAATCAAATAAGTGCAAAAATAACCTATGTCACTGACTGACTTGGATACAAACTTGACATTTATTTTATTTAGAAATGAACTTTTCAATAATGTTACATAATCTGAAATGTCTCAACAATACAGCCATGTGAAAAATCATAAATGTACTTTGCATTTGAACAACTCATAATGACATGGACAATCTGATATTACCCAATGGTGAGGCTTATTAGTTTAAAAAAAGCGTAGTTGTTGTTAAATAACATTCTCCCACCATGATTAGTGGAGAGAATCAGTCCAGGATCGCCATCTGGTGATAGTTATGTCTCATTGCATCCGGCGTGCCATATTGCCCTCAATTTCTTCTTCTTTATATTATGATAAACTGCACATTAAAGCAAGAAGAATTTAGCTTTAAGACTGGAATGAGGTTATCAACATGAGAAAAATAAAATGGGAAACCATCCTTGTCCTGGAGATGTCAGGGAGTATGTGTCCAACAGTAAGGTCTGCAGGCATATCTGCATTTTAGAATAGTTGCAGATCTCCCATCAAGGCCTAGGGCTGCAATTATAAAGCTTAAATACTAGTGACAAAAGTGGGAACAAAATCATTTTGATTTAAAAACTTAAAACATGCTGGGAGGCCACAGTTTCCTCCTATCCCAAGGTTAAGGTTAGTTTATTTATGTAGCACATATATCTTTCACAAAGGCAATTTAATTAGTGATACACACACAATAAAACGAAATACCATCGACACAACATAATGAAAGGTGACTTAAAATGACCAGATTCTAAGATAGTTCTCTGATATATGTCGATGTCTCACCGTGAGAACTTGATAATAATCAAGATAACAATTATTCATAAACCAGCTAAGTCCTTCAGAGATCTCATACAGAGGAAAACTGTTAAAGTCAAATGATTATTCTCCAAACACTGAATGACAGCGAGTAATGAATCACAGATTAGTGAAGGGATAATGTTTGTGGTCGAGGACATTAGAGATAAACTCACATCTCAAAACCTGAAGAGCAGTAGCCTAGAATAACTTGTTTTTCACATTCCTGTTCAATACTTCATTTGTATTCACTGCACATATGGCTTTTAGTGGGTAAGGTTATCCAGATGAAATGTAATACAGAGCTATTTTCATGAGCAAAATGTCAACAATTGAAATGAATCTAAGTTTAATTACAAAGCAGTATAATTGTTACAGTCCCCTTAGCTAAGAATATGTTATGTTATGTGTTTATGTAAGTAGGAGGTCACTAGTTTAAGCAGATATGTAAAGAGGAGATTAAAGAATTGTGTAAGAGGAGATATTGCAGTTGTTGCTATTCCCACAGGTCACCAGCAGAGGTCAGTAATGACTTAAAGCTCATAAAGGTTGAACACATAATACTCTCTTGAGACTGGCAACTCACTTGCAGGGCCTTTTTCTTAGTTACGTTTTTCCTTTTGTTTTACAGAAACAATGCCTAGAAATAAAGCTGTATTTAATGTAATAACATTATTTTTAATCCGTCTGTCTTTGGAGCACAACACATGTTTTGTTTTGAATTGCTAAAAATAACAGGATTACTTCAGACTTGCTGCGAATAAATGGATGGACAAATATCAATAACTGAAATGACATCCTAATGGTCCTGGATGTCTTTTATGTAATGATATTTTGTGTGTTAGCATTCATATTATTTGTGATTTGGATTTGCACATGTTTTGTCTTGATCTTGTTTGGAAAAGGATACAAAATGGAAAATGATAACAAATACTGAGGAATGATGCCTTATGCTATAAAACATCCCACATTCACACTTGCATATCTACCCTGGTCTGAGCAGTATTTCTCTCTCTTGTCTGTTTTTCCCATCAGAGCATCAACAAAGTCACAGACTCAGCTGTCAGAGGAGAGCGTAATCCTTTTCTTTCTTCAATGTGCCCTTTCACTTCGCTGAGATCCAGCTAAGATTAAAGTATTACCCCTCTCCATCATCTCCCTTTAGATCTGCCTCTCCCCTTCCATACGCCGGCATAACATTGGGTACGCAGGTTTGAGAAGGTCACTCTCAAAGTTAAAGAGACCGCATGCACTTAGTCTCTTTTACATTCTATTCATTTATGCAAATCTGGAGTTATTTGTTAACATTTATTTTCGGTAAACTGCCATTTGAAAGGTAATGTTCAATGAATTAGCATTACTAAAACATGTGCACGATTATTTATTTTATTGTTTTGTTATAATGTGTGTTGCTTTGTTTGGTGTTTTGGGATTTTCCTGGGGGTTCTTTTTTTTTTTTAATATAAGGTTTGTTTTATGCGAAAGCACTGTGTTACTCTGTTTTGAAAGTTGTTATATAAATAAAATGTATTATTATTATTTATATAATAATAATTATTATTATTATCAGACTATGGATCCAAAAGAAAATGTACAATCAAAATTACATTTTTTTTTTTTTCCATTATATTGTTAAGAACAAAAGCTAATCAACTCAAACTATGTTTTAAAGTAATAACTCAATGTAAAAACTGCTAAATTATAACCATATGAGTGCAGTTCTGTAAATAGTAACTATTAAGAACTGAACTGGTCGTAATGTAAAGACGCAGTGAGATAAAACTGAATCCTTCTATACAAATAATTGGAAAACAGATTATAAAAGTATCTTGGAGAGCTTGCAGTAAAAGCTTTTCAAGACAACCTAGGAGGATACATTTTCCTGTTCACTGGTGCGATCAATTGTAGAGGAAAATTCATTTTGATTTAAAAACTCAAATATGCTGGGCGTCCATAAATACTGTCTCCCAGATTGTTAATGGAGCGTTGCTATATTGAACATCTCGGTGACAGCTCAACCACAGGCCTGTATCTCTCAATGCTCTGCTTTCTGTCCTGGGATAAGAGTCACCTCTCTTCACAAAGAGACTGACACAAAGTGTGATGAGTCTTCAGACTGAAGATCTCTTTCATGGTTGGGAGGGTGACTTAGAACAATGTGACCTTAGAAAAGAAGAAACCAAGATATGTTTATCAAAAATGTGTCCTCTGCTCAGAGATTTTATTTATAGTAAAACCTACCTTTCATTAAGCATATTCAGGCTGTAGCATAACACTAACAATGAAACACATGAGAGTTTAAAAAGCAGAAATAAAATCTGAGCTGACAGAAAATGCTCTGTTTTGGTGTAAGACACATAGTTACGCTCACAAAACTATGTTATGAACAATAGGTTCACCTATTGAATTCATAATAAAAGAACAAATGAACCAAAGAAAGTGAAAACCATAAAGCAGATTCAGACAGTAGGCGTATAGATGCACACCTAAAGTATTAGCCTACAGAAGAGTACCACTTACAAAGAAGAAATACAATCTGATCCTTTTAAAACAAACATTATAATGTATGCTCTTTTTTTTTTTTCCACTAACATTGTAATCCTGCTATGAATCCCTGATTGATAAAAATGTAACAATCACTATGTCGTTTTTGTTACTGTAAGTGAAAACAGTTACCTTTTTTTGTACCCTGATTACAAAACGCAGTTACATGTAATGTCTTACTTCTAGTGGTGGAAAGTAGTGATGGGAATTACGGCTCTTTGAAGGGAGCCGGATCTTATGGCTCCGTTCCTTTCCAAAGCCATTCAAAAGTGCCGTTGTTTTTTTCAGGGGGCGGGGTTACTAGGTTTATCTGGGAATAACCACCAGGATAATGATTGACTTTATTGACAGAAATCTACTTTTACTCACAGAAAATGTATAATTTGCTACATTTCTCAGCCAGCCGAACTACCACTCAAGCAGCATGCGTCATGCCATCATCTACACTGTAAGAAACGTACCGTGAAATTCACAGTATTTAACTGGCAACACTTGACAAGTTACTTACTGTAATTATGTTACAGTAAGTAACTTGTTCAATTGCTGCCCAGTTAAATACTGTAAAGGTAATCACAGTATTTACAAGTTTTTATTTACAGTAACAGTGTAAAATGAAACGCAGTAACTTCCAAGTACTGTATTTGTGTTTACGGTTAGTGTTTTAACTGTAAAATGAAACACAGTAATTACTTTTTTTTTGTTACAGCAGTAGTGTTATAGCTGTCAAATAAAACCGTAATTTCCAAGCATTGTATTTTTGTTTAAGGTAATAGTATTTTAACTACAAAATAAAACACTGCCATTTAAAAAGTACTGTATTTTTGTTTACGGTAATAGTGTTTCAATTGTAAAATAGAAACTTTAATGTTATAATATTAAGTTACAGTATCAGTATTGTAAAACTATTTATTATAGTATACTTCATGTCATGCTGGTAATTTACAGATTACCAGAAATTCTTGACACAATTTGAAAGCTCACCAATAACTGCAGGGAGACAGCAAACAATACATTTTAACAATGTATTCTTAATTCTTGAACGGTATCAAGACCATGTATTTTCTTATGCTAAATGATAAATATTTTCATCCATAAAACAATTGATATTAATATCCAAACACATGGAGATTGCATTTTTAAAACAGTGGCGATAACAAAACACAAAGAATATGAAGCCATTTTAGAGACGTGCTGTAGTTGAAAAGGTGTCACGACCTCGACACAAACTGGAGAACCCAAATGCACGACCCAGGGACACAGTCTTGAATGTAACAAACATTTTTGTTTTTAATGTCATTGAACAGAAAATCCCTCTAAAATAAACTTAAACTAACAAAACAACAAAACCTGACAAGACTGGAAACGATCCTCTCTTTGCTGAGGCCTGGCACGACCACACGTGGGAACAAACATTAACTGACACAGGACAGGGGGGAGACAGGACTATTTAAACATGAGGTGAGTGGGAACAGGTGGAAACAATCAGGGGTGGGGCAGACGCTGACGATGGCAGGAAAACACACAAAGGGAGGAAGTAACAGGGCCTTAAATGAGAAACAAGAGGGAAAATGAAACAGGAAATGGAAAAGGGGACACAACATGAAACACAGGGACTTAACTAGAGATGAATGACATAAATAGACAGACCTGTCATGACGTGAATAAACATGAAAACCTTACTAAACATCTGTTAACGACAGCCGTTTCATCAATGTAAAAGAACTTCAAAGTCGAAATGTACGCTAGGAGCGAGGACCGCTTCACGGTTCGACGTCACGCGCAAATATTTCGCATAGAAACGGAACTTTTATAAGCTCATTACCGTGTGTGTGTGATTCTGACCTTTTAAGTACAAAGATAAACGTTAATTTCTAACTATTATCACACATAACCCAATTAACTCTTCTCGTGATCTCTCACGACCTAGTAAAAAAACCCGGCCGTCTCCTGAACAATATCAATACATTTCATAATTCTCAACTTTCTCCGGTTACTAATTTTAATATATGAGTAAGGTCGAAACTTGGTCCCGAGGCGTCTCCCTATAGCGGGCGTTGGACGAGCATAGTGACCCGCCATAGATGAATCTGGTAACTTATTCACAAGTCCAAGATAATGAGTAACAGAAAGAACAAGTGTTTGAAGAGTGTAAAGCTCTCCAAAGTGCTCGGTCTTGCTGGATAAAAGACAGGACCGAAATCGAGCATTACATTGTCTAAGTTAAGTCTTACTTAACTACTACTATTTGTCACTCATTGTTGTTGTCGTGTGTCCTCACGAAATTTATTTTTGTCAAAAATACATGGGTTTTCAGGTGTCTTGTGTAGTACTGGGTTAGTAACCAGATTATTGACCGGATATTTTCTCCAGTTGGCTGTTTACGAAGTTTCTTTGTACTCTAGTTGACATTGTGAATCCAGCAATTGAGCTGTCTGACTGGACGATGTTACTTTTTGGTTCTGGATATAATACTGAACGGTTTGGGTCCAACCTCTTGGTTCCTATTAGTAATCATTTGGTCAGGGGGGAAATTGTACTTCGTCCACGACACAAGCGTTAGGCAGGGTTAACCGAGGACGTCACTAAATACTCAGGAGTCGCGATCGATGCGGGAAACGCCTTGGTACCTTCAGTGCAGGGGGGTCACCTGTAACATTGGTTTCTGTTCTTTCGTTAATTAGTGTATAAACAGTAATAATACAAATTGGGATCGGTTCAAACTGTCCAGGCTGCAAGTCGTGGCAAAATTTGCCGTTCAATTCGATTAAGAGCCGTTCGAATAGTTTACAGAAGTGCAATCGAAACATTCAGTCCTGTCCAGGTAAGGACGTACGTAACCAAACAAACATAAGTTCCACAAAAGTTTATAACACACAATAGATTCTTATCACTAATTACATAAACGTTTGTCACGGAAAACAACACCGAGCCAGTTACACAACTCAATACAAATACAACAATACA